CGCCGCAGTAGAACAATTCTGTTACTTAAATGAAACCTGGAGATGTAGGTGTTACTAACATAGTGCGGTGTGCAACAGCAAAGGAAAAAATAACGCAAAAAAAAAAAGACATTCAAGAATAACTCAAAACCAGGTGTATTCCTTTTGTCTTCCTCTGAGTCGGCTACGCTACTCTACACAGACTGGTTTTACAGAATTATGTTTTCAGACTCGATGTTTATTTTGCCATTATTAAAAAGCGATTGTCTAAACACAACGGTGGTTGATTAGCTAAACTAAAAACCTGCTCTACTGATGATCTGTCAGAGAGCCTAGCCTTTTTTATATATAATTTTATCTGAACTGAAGCACGCCAAATTCTGCAGCACATCTACATGTTAAGATCGTCAAAGTCAAGTTAGCATAGCTGACCTACTTCCTTTACTTCTTTCACCATTGATTTGTTTTTCTTTTTTTCTTAAAACTTTTTCCTGACTTGTGAAATCCGACACTCTTGGACGTCGTTATCTATCACAGTGTTGAAAATTAGTAGCAAAACATTTTCTGTCTTTTTCTTTTATATATCACAAATACATTAAAGATTTGTGTTGACAACTTGACAGCTACAACCAACGGTGGTCATCGTCAGCAGGCAGGAATCTTGCATCCATGACGTCACATCGCAGCGCGTCTAAGGACATAGGATTGCACAACTATGTGCAACAGAGAAAAACTTTTTTAAATGTTCATTCTGTAAGAAACTTATTACAGAATATGAAATATGTAAAAAAAAGTTCTACTGACTAAGCTGTCGAGCCAATATTGGTATTTTTCATGCACCGTTTTGCTCAAATATCTGGCCAGATTAAATATTGAGGGAGTCAAATAAAGCAATTGACCTTTCTCTGCTTCCCTCCTGTTCTGTCTTGGCGTGTTAACCTTCTCCCCATCTCACTCCTTCATCATCCTTTTGGTCTCTCATGGGGAGGAATAACAGCAACACAGAGAGATAAGGCTGAGTCTGATTGATGCATTATGAATAGGATAGCCTGTCTGCGACAGTAAGTGCTGCTGCGCTCTGCCACTAAGACTCCCTCAGCGATCGATTGGAGTCCCACCACACTAATCAATAGATAGGTACATAAATAAATAAAACCTTCTTCGGGTCCCTTAATCTGCAGGGAAGTCCTACGCTATCACTTTGTCTGCAAGTCGGTATTGTCAGAGTGTTTTTTTTACAGAAAGCTTTTAACCGCAGATTTGAGCAGATAAGCCGTCATTCTGGTGTTTAGCTGAAGTAGCAGGCAGGGATTTCAGTCTACAAATACAGAAAAGGGTTATAAATCTGTTATTTTGATATGATGTGGTTACATTGGAGCTCCTCCGACATATTCTAGTGTCGCAACCAAACTGTGGCCTACAGAATCTTTCTTTTGTAGAATTTGATCAATTTTCCAGACTTTCGACTCAATTTAGTTTATCTATATAGTGCCAGTTCACAATAAATATCTTTCAGCTAGCGTTGATTAGATACAGTGAAGACTCATTAGCCGTGTTTCCATCATTGTTTCTTTTATGCACATTTTTGAGTGTCGCATTAGAAAAGGTTGATGGAAGTGGCTAAATTTAAATTGACTCTCGTGATTTCCCTCCCCTTCCCCCCCACTTGAGATGGTTTTTGGCTTTTCTGGATAGTTAATGTGCCGAATGGGGAGATGGAAACACAGGTGTTAAGGGAGAACTCCTAATTTTTTCTGAGATGCGGGTTCCACGCCACTTTTCAACTTCTACTTCTCAGTTGTCAAAGCTTTCTGTTCTAAAATGTTTTGATCGTCTGGAACATTATTGTGTGAAAAAGAAATAAAAACAGAAGAATCTGTCGGGGCGCAGATACTTTTTCAGGGCAGAGTAGATTTGTGGGGAAAGCAAACTGATTTGTTGCATCAAAACAAAACGCGCTGCCTGTGGCGCATTTTTCCAGCTCGTTTAAATCATCCTCTCTTCAAATTCCTTCGATGACTGTGTGACATTTCCGCTTTTGACATTTCTCTCACTCTAAAACTTTCCTCTCGCAAAAAATGAAGCAACACGAACACCTTCCGTTCCTCTGGCAGCCGATTCTAAATCCCCTTAAAACCGGCGAAGCATACCGGCGAAAAGCCTTCCGAGCAGTCAGTCCGAACGCGGTGTAGCATGAGGTCCGATTTTCATTTCGTCTCTTTTTTATTCTTTTCCTCCCTCCGTCTCACCTGCTCTGTGCGGCCGCCTCTCCATCAATCCCCCCCTGACAGCCAGGTGATTAGGAGGAGAGAGTTCAGACCTGCTGAAAAAGCAGCTTAGCTGTAATTATCGTCTCGGAGAGAAACAAACAGTTCATCAGGGCCCATCTCCGGGGACTTCACAACTGTTGCCAGGATGTATATCGAAGGCTCGACAACCAGCCGTTACCTTGGCTACCCTTGTCTCCATATGTGTGGGTTGGAGGGGGTGGGAGGGGTTGCTCTCCGTACAGATAAGATTCTTTTCAGGTTGTTCAGAAATAGCATAAGCCATGAAAACAAATTAAGATGTACACTCCGCCCGCGCACGCTGATGCAAGCTGACACACACACACACACAGATGCCAGACCTGGGGAAACACGTTGCTCTCACCTGTTTTCTGTTAACGTACACTCTCTCAAACACACACACACACAGAACCACGCACATATGTACGCATGAAACGGCGTCCAGCTCCAGCGATTTCAAGAAATTAACTGTCAAAATAACCAATCACACTTAACATAAATGAGCAAACAAAATCCGTTTGAAAGTCCTTTAGAAGAATTTTGCATGTTAACAGACTTCTGGACTCAAACAGTTCCAATTTAAACATGCCGTTCTTTGGGAACGACAACATCCCTCGCTCTGAAATCTAAGAAAAAAAAACAAAAAAAACAAAAAGACACTCATCATAGCGGTGAATCTTTTTTTAGTTTGGGCTTTAAAATGACTTATTTGAATTATTCAAACTTGAATCTGTAGGCGATATTCTCTAATGTAAAGTTGTCCGGTAACCGTAACAGGAAATGACCCGTTCCCCATTGCGCCTGTATTCCGTGCTTTTTATATCCTTTGACAAATATCTGACCGCTCTTCTAGTCAGAATGTATTGAACTCATTTAAAGTGGTTGGATTTCTGGAAGAGATCTGGATTTTAAACAAAATACAAAAATTTTAAGCGGAGGAAGACTGTATACTTCCAGAAGCTTGTGGTTGGACTGATTTGACCACTTCCAAAGCGGTTTTGATCTGTTCAGTTGAACCACAACATTATGTCCAAATTTCAACCATTGAACTCTGGGATAAAAGGAGGGAGAAAAAAAACCTCAAGAATAATTAAGTCTCAATCTTACACTAAAGTGAACACTGTTGGCACACCACTAGCTGCATTATGCAAACTGAAATGAAGAAAATACAGTTGATCAACGGAAACGTGACGATTTCAAAAAACGGTATTTGCTAAAAACAATTTTGCGCTTGGATGGTGTGGCTTTCCAGCTGTGTCAAAATTGGTTAATTTTTCAAAACTGGAAATAGAAATGCTTTTGTTGCAGGACACAAGTTACGTGATCAGTAGGAACATGTAACTTGTTCCTACTGATCAAGTAGGATGGATGTTCCTACTGGCGGAATTAACAAAGAAAATGACAGGAAGTGGTAGGAGGAGGATGATGGCTCTGCATTTTTTTAAATGACTAACCGTGTGCAAAACTTGCAAAAATTTTTGGGGCTGCACCTAAAATTTGGGTCTGAAACCAAAAACCAAGAATATAGGTCAGATATTGAGAGAAATATGCCAGGAGCTTTCTGATAGCTGTGCAATGAGTCATTCAATTGGGTATTATGTACATATTCAAACCTAAATTTATATATTTGAATAAAAAAATAATCTATTTTTTTTTATTTATAATTTAACAATGAAAAATTGTGCAACGAAATTTGGGACCAATCCTCTAGTTAAAAATAATGTTAATGTCTCAACTTGAAAATCTAGGTAATAAAACCATATCTTGATTAGAAAAGCAGCACAATGAATACAAACTTGTGCAGTATATTCTTTTAAAATAATTTGCATAAAATATATTGTTATTCCATCCTAAGAAAAGAACAAAATAGCTGCCATGCCTGTTTACTTTTGGATAACCCTAATTGATGCTTGCTGGATCTGAACAACTGAATCTAAGGTAACAATTCAAAGTCCACAATTAATACAGTCATAATCAATCAGAATACGCCTCAACGAGGCTCACTGGTCAGATTAAAAGTACCTTTTGAAAACCTTTAGGCATATTTTCCATTAAGCCCACATTTCTGTAATAAATGTGTTTCTGTATTGGTCTGATGTAATGTTCTTTTCATTAGCTAAAAGCAGAAAATCATCATAATTAACAGAAATAAAGGCTTGAAAATATCAGTCGGTGTGTAATTAAATCATTCCAGGTTGTTGAGTGACTGAAATCAGTTAACATTTCACTAATATTCCAATATATTGTTTATGGCTACTGTACAATGATGTGTGAGCTGAAAAAAAAAAAAGACGGCAACATGAAGGTCCTCCGTTGTGTTTTGGTGAAGGACACTTGTGCACAGGAGGAAGCGTGTTCTGTTCCCACTGACGGACAACAGAAGCCGCAGCAGAAGGGTGGCATTAAAACCCAGCGGGGGATGTAGTGTGATGAAAATGTCAGACCTGAACCAGCAGGCTAGACTCTGCGACGTGTTTCATCAAGTCAGAGTGTATGGAGTGCTGCGTCAGAGGTGTTACGCCCTGCATGTTCGTAGCTAAAGACTTTATGTGCAAAGGTACGTCTTATGGATTCGGCATGTAAATCTACATCTTCAGCATGTCGAGCATGTCCCAAAGGTCAGTGGAGTGAACCGAGAGGCACCCGAAAGAAAAATGTGAGTCTCTGTTGTGTTTACGGACACCTTGACGTTTGGCCAACTGAGAGTTCCCTCTTGTCACGGTGTAAACTCACCCAGCCAGAACGATGAAGAAGTCTAGGCGGTTCCATGTGTCTCCGAGGTAACACTTCTTGCCAAAAATCCCCAGGGCCACCATCTTGATCACCATCTCAATGGCGAAGAAGGCGAAGATGAAGTCATCGAAGTCCTGCCCGGACACACAGATAGAACAAACGGCTTAACGTCACGTTTTGAACATCACTGAACAGTGAAAATCTGTCGGAAGGCAAAACGTGAAGGACACGTCACCCAGCGCTCTATTGAAAGTCATAAATCTCATTTATAAAACTCTAATATGTTTGATTAGACTTTATAGTCTAATCAAACTATAATTTTGATTAGACTAAATCAAAATTATAGTTTTGATTTAACTATAATTAAATTGGGTATTATGTACCCAATTTAATTGTACTATAACTATACTATAATTTGATTTAACCATTTTAATTAACCATTAAAATGGTTAATTTTGCAATTAGGTTGAGACAGAATGTGGAGAAACTGAAGCATCGATTACTTTAGGTGGCCTGACATCCAGTCGTTTTCACAAGCTGAAAATGGAATCTCAAGAAAAAAATAAAATAAAATTCAAGCATAATTTCTAGTCATTTTTTCAACTTTGGTAACCTGTTAAGGAAAGATGGAAGTTTATGTACAACTTGTCTTAAGCCAACTATATTCATGAGTTGGGTCTAAAAAGTTTCATGTCTTGTCAAGATCAGGCCATAGAGGTAAAATGTGCAGCAGGGAAACTCAGACTTCCTTTTTTTCCAAAAACACTCACCGGCTAATTGAGGGAAATCCAAAAACATTCCTGGGCTATGAAGAGGAGAAAGCTCCTACACCAAAACTGTTTCAAGATCTATTTCCAGTGGGATGTGGTTAAAGGCCTGAGTTCAAACCCGGGCCTGGCGTTTTGGAATTAGCACTTAGACCCACATTGTGCCATCACTCATCAAGGAGATAAATGAATACATGTAACTTTTTCTCCACAGTGACAAAAACCACAGACTGTGGCCCCAATAACTCCATATAAACATTACAGGATTGCACTTAATATGTAACTGTCTGAATACAGCCGCGGTTGATTAGGTAATTTAAACATCTGTTCTACTGATGATCCGTCAGAGTTGGTGTGAGGGTTACCTTTTTCCCCTCAACTGAACCAAAACACACAGGATTCCACAGCACATCTACATGCTAAGGTTGCAAAGTCAAGCTAGCATAGCTGACCTTCTTCCATCTCCCTCCCTATTTTATTTTTTTTTTTTTTACATAAACTTTTCCATAACCTGTGAAATGTGACACCTTTGGACCTTGTTGTCAAAATGTTGTGATGTTGACAATTAGCAGAAAGGCACTGCATCTCTTCTTAGGGATAGATCACACATACATTTAAGATTTGATGCGTTTTGTTGACATCTTGACAGCTAAACCTACAACCTGGCTAGCAGTTTTTTGCCCTCCAGCAGAGAACTGGAGGCCGGGATCTTGTGCACATTTCGTCATGTTGCAACGTGTCTCCAGGCAACCGAGTTCTGTAATTTGTTGGTGAAGACGGAAGGATTTAATACACTAGGGTCTGTTTTTTTTATTGCCCTCTATCTAGTCTAGACATTTCTTAATGATAAACATCCTACTGAGAGCCTTTGACATCCTTGAGTCAGTTTATGAATTCCTGCAGAGAAATCCATGTCTCTTGATCCTGTCATCAGGAGGTTAGACAATTGCGCTGGATGGGAAAAGGATAACAGCCTCCTTGTAGCAGCAGAGGATTAACATTTTGCTCGACGGCACTTAAACAAGCCTGCGTGATGTCCTCAAGTGATTGAATAAGGATTTCGTTATACCTTCCTTTATTAAATGGCACTCGAGAACAAATTACGGCGGCGAATGCAAAAAAGCAGCGTAACCCGGGGCAAAGCGCTGATCTTGTTAACCAGTATTCCTTCTCTTCATTACGGCCCGTCTGGCTTCAGCTCTCCAAAAATCCTCATCAGGCCGAACCGAAGACAAAACAAGGGCAGAGAACTCGGACGGAAGGCGCAAATACTGCTTTCTTGAGATATGAAAATCGATGGGAAACAGCAAAAAGCAGAGGTGGAGGAATTTGGAATGAGTGCGGCGAGTAAGAGAGCTCAGAGTAAAAAACAAAAGCTAAAGGGAAAGAAAAAAAAAGAATCTGGAAGGAGATTAAGGCACAGGACACCCACTGATAGATGAGTCATCCTAACACGAACAGAGACGAGTATAAATATATCAGATCCTGTTAGCTTAAGAAAAAGCTAGCCTTCCACTGCTTTAAAGTACACTGGAAGTAAAAAAAAAAAAAGTTGGAGGAATGTGAAACTGTGACAGTGTGTTTACAGCTCAATAATATCAGCCTGTCTCGGTTTCTCGAGCTTTCCCAGCATCCTTGAACAAAAAAAAAAAAAAAAAAAAAAAAAAATTTAAAAAAACAACCCCAGGAGCCCCTTTTTAAAAAACCGAAACCCCGG